GTCTTTTCATTTCTCTTTTCAGTTCAGTTTCAGAATAGTTGTTTTATGCTCCAAGGATGTGAAGAAATTGACGAATTGTTTTTTATTTTGATTTGAAAGTGTTAGAAAAGTAATTCATTTAAATGAAATTAATTAAATAATAATTGTTTTTGTGTAAGTACTTTATTCCAACTTCATATATTTAATTAAAAATTTTTTTTTGCATTTATAAAATATGTGTTTCTATATAAAATATTAGCCTTAAGCTTTTTTTATTAAAAAAATATAAATTCAGAATGGCAGCTAAAGTATAAGTTTTTATAAAACAAACAATCATAAAAAGTTAACATTTTATAAATATTTATAAAACAAATCATCAACATTTATAACGTTCTATTAGACTTTATCTACGCATACCAACGTATTTGGTCCAGATACTCTTCGTTTCAAAATAAGTTTTGTTGCGTGAACATATGATCGCGTCCTTAAAAATAGTTGCATACGAATCAGGAATAGCAGGATTTTTATAAAGATTATACACAAATTCATAGATCTATATTGGAAAAAAAATAGCCTTAAAGACAATTTAATTGATAAGATTATTATAACTCTTACTTTAACTTCTTGATCCTTAAAGAAAACATGATCGCACAACAGTTGCAGGCTTTCTGGAAATATTTCATTGCGCGCTTTATATGTTGTAGCGACAATATCTAAATTGCCCAATAATACACCGCAACCGGAAAGTACATCCACAGTTAATATTAAAACGTCTATGATGAATAACGCCTTTTCAAGTTTTTCTTTATTTGATGATTCCGCCAACAGATTTTGAATTTGTAGCAGTAATTCCATAACCCAACTGGAACTTTGCTCATCACTATTGAAAGCATAGAGTGTAGCAGCTAAATGTCGGAATAGAAAATGATGCTCCTCACGTTTCGTCGCAAATGCGTCTATAATAGTTGTTAACCAATGTAGCTGATTCGCCAGTTTGCTATTGTAGAGCACTAAATAGCAGCGTATAATTGTGGCTTTCTTTAGTTTGCCAATTGGCGTTTCCCACCAGTTAGCTGGTGAGGTGAGACCATCAATAGTAACAACAGGTAAACAGGAAACAACTTCAGTATAACGTTCAAAAAGCTAAAATAGGAAGATTATTATTATTATTATTATTATTATTAGTATTAATTATTACAATAATATTTTTTTCTCCGACAATATAGAATAGATTTGTTTTTGTTGTGCAATATGCTAAAATATAAGAGGATTTACTGCTAATGTTGATGTTGTTGTAACCCGCTGGGACCTGCTTGCGAAGTTCTTTTAGGAGGTGTTGAAAGGCACTTGATCGTAGCTGGCGACAAGTGGCTCCGGGGCATAGACCTGGCCGTTCTTGGGACCAATTCGCAATGTTATATATTTTGCTTCATTCAAAGATTGTGGGATAAGAGCTTATTAGTAGGCTCTAGGGGAAAGAATTTTAAGTCTACATATAGATTCAGTATACTTTTAGAGATTATATTTTCAGGATATATTTCCAGATATTGTTTTCGAGTCAGTAGACTTGAATTCAATTTCCGACTAAATGAAGAAATGTTGACATAAGTATAGGCCAAATTTTAGATTGATTTGGTTTATATATGTGTGGAGTAGAGCTGTCAATGTCGATTATCCTAATATGAGCAATACATATTAGTATACATATCAAAATTTCATCTATTCAAATATTTAGAAACATTTAAATTATTTAATGCAAGCCGCTTATTCAAACTGTTCCAACCATTTCATACATATTCGTA